CTCTTTCCTTTTGATCTCTGACTTTTCTTCTCACGGGATTTCATAAAGTACACGATCTCTAGCCCAACCTCAGGGGCTACGTATGTGACGCGTGGCTCCGAGGGCCAGAGTAACGCTTCTGTCGTGGTAATGCCCTGTGTGTGCCTTTGGAATGCTGGGGTTCAGTCCCCCCTTTAGGACCTTCAGTGTTCTGTTCCTTGCGAACTAGAACATGCAAGATTCCTAAAACTCAAGATCTTAAGTTTGCACGGCGATAGGTATTTCAGGTGAAAGAAGAAAGAGACCTGGTTTCGAGGAAAACACAGAGGTTTCCTCTTGAGACACGCCAGCTTTGCTAGTCAGAAACGTGGTTTCCTGGAGCTGCTGTTTTCACCGGACTACTTATTTATTTTCCTGTTTCTTAGCAAGCAGTGAGTTTTTCCAATCTCTCAGTCCCAATGGAGCGCCTCAAGCAGATGTGACCATGTACAGTCTTGAGGAGCTGGCCTCCATGGCTGCAGAGCACACTTCCAAGAACACAGTAAGAGCCCGCGCATTTTGCCATCTCCTCCTGGGGGATTTTCCTAAGCCTGATCTAGACACAGATTTTAAAAAACAATAACCAAGAGTCGCAGTAACCACAGCTGGAGGTAAACAGGAGGAGAAAACTGCCCGAGAGGCCCCGTGTCGCTGCCCCGGCCCTGGCCCGGGAGCAGGTCCCTCGCGGGGAGCAGGTCCGCGGGCAGGAAGCAGCGCAGGCGCACTTGGCTTCGCCTCGGTCAGGCGCCCCTGTCTCCTTAGCATCCCCGAGTTCTCTCCAAGACAAAGATAACACCGCGGAGTAGTGCCCCGCGTCGCATTCTAATCTCCGGATTGTTAATTTCTATTTATATCATTCTTAGTTCCAATACCTACTCCTTCAAGTTGTAACAACTGGACTTCACAGGTGAGTCAAGACGATGCTGTCGTTTCTTTAAAGATGTTGGAAGAGACATGTAGTATATCCCTTTTGAATCGCTGTCGACAGAATAACGACCTGGTGTTTTGTTGATATGCTGGAGGCTACTTACCTTTATGTTTAGATCGCAACACAATTGCAACAAAAAGGTTTTCTAATATCGGGACCTGACCTATCCCTGATGTCACCGTAGTGCTTCCATTACTGACTGGTGTGCTCATAGCACATAGTAGGTGCTATTGAGATTTAAGAAAAGGAAGTGTAAGGACACATTTCCCCTTGCAGGTCTTTAAAATCAAGCGAGGGAGGAAAATGTAGGCCAGGCTAGCAGCAGCAGCGGCAGTGGCTGGTTAAGCTAGGTTCTATGCATGTCCTATTGTCACACATTCGAGAGGCAGTTGTTGGGTAAGGAGGCTGGTTAAAGACCACACCGTGGAGGTGACTCTTGAGCTTGGTCTGAAGCCTGGACTGTGCTTTGGTGAAGAGGAGACAGCCTCCAGGTGTCGGCACCGTGTGCACAGGAGGAGGGATCGAAGTCGGCGTAGACGCAGTGGAGGGGTGCTTCGTCCTGTAGAGCGAGCTGCCGTGTTTCTTGGCCCAGAAATCAAACCTTCAGAAGGCTTTGCGGTGACAGTTAAAAGTCTATGTCGAGAGCTCTGTTGCGTCTGCAGGACGTGTGTGTCCTGAAATATTGATCACAGTAGAAATCTAGGAGAATTACCTTTGGGGGGGCACGGCTAGTAAGTATCTCAATATTTGCATTTGTTTTCCATGCTTTCCACAGGACACCTTCGTGGCCGTGTTCTCATTGGTGTCTGGGAGGGTGGTGCACATCTCCGAGCAGGCGCCTTCCGTCCTGAACTGTCGGAGAGAGTCCTTGGCGTCCTCTCACTTCGCGGAGCTGCTTGCCCCTCAAGATGTGAGGATGTTCTACACGCACACGGTCCACGCTCAGCTTCCCGTCTGGAGCGACTGGACCCAAAGAGGTAACGGGCCCATCTGTACATGTCTCCGCGCCTCCTACAGGTTGCGTTCCTGACCCAGGGGCGGCGCAGAAACGCACGCATCATGCAGAACAGGCCGACGGAACGGCTTTTCTTCCTTATTTTAAAAAGCAGCGTGTGATGACAACACTTTAAATGCTTCTAAAAACATAGAGATTCAGTAAATTTGCTTTCACGTAGTCCAGTTGATTTCATAGAGTGTAAATCATAACACAGCTTGATCGCCACAGCCTGCATAGCGGTTTAGTTGCTATAAAGGCTCTGCTTCTGGGAAATGAATGGAATTAAATGTTCTTCCTCTTATATTGACTTCATTATGTGTGAGCTCTGCTTTGGAGATGAGCTCCTGAGGGTTAGCTTTCTTCTCCTGCTTTTCTTGTCCGTACCAGTTCAGGAATCTCATTACTTTTTCTTCGGACCTGGGAGGCCTGTTTGCCATTTATTGTGACATCGGTCCTGTGTGGTCTCTAAGTGACCCATCATTGCTGCTTTTCGTCTCCCTTCCACGTCGCGCTTTGTGGAGGGTCTCCTACAGAGCTTGCTATAGATGGTCCTTCTCTGTGATTTCACTTCTTGTAGAAAAGCACAGAACAGAACTGGCCGCTACCCCTCTCAGCGCGCGGCCGTGGTGTGGGCACGCTCGCTGCTGTGAAGCGTCTCCGAGCCTCTCCTGCGAGTGGAGCTCGTGTCATCCTGGTTTTTAACCCAGTGCTGGGCCCAGTGCAATCTCACTGGCTTCTCTTTCCAGGCCCAAGCCGTGGCCCATCTTTAACGCACAAGCGGTGTGAGCTGTAGAACGCACACCTGTCGTCCCGGCTTCCTCCTGGCTCCCTCTCCTGTGGCCGTCACCCAGCAGCACTGATTTCCTTCCTCTTCTGTCCTGAACGCATGTGTTCGGCCTTTCATTATTTATAGTGTTTCTCTGTGTTTATTAGTCACTTATTCCTCCCGTGAACATTTACCCACGATCCCCGTGGGCCGGGCCCCGTCCCAGGTGCTGCAGTCGAGGCGGGAGCAGAGCAGCCGGGCAGTGTCTGCTGCTGGCTCGCTCTCATTGCCCGTGTGCGCCTTCCTCTTCGCCTGTGGAGTCTCCTCTTCTCTCTCCAGCCTTTTCCTCCTTGCTGACCGCTTACTGCTGTGGGTTCCCCTCCTTGTAACAGCAGAATGTGGCCTGAAACGGTCTTGTAACTAACCCTTCACTTCCTCCACTGAGAGGGCCTCCGCCTGGGGCAGTGATGGCGAACCTTTTGAGCTCGGTGTGTCAGCATTTTGAAAAACCCTAACTTAACTCTGGTGCCGTGTCACATAGAGAAATGTTTGGATATTTGCAACCATAGTAAACAAAGACTTATATTTTTGATATTTATTTTATATATTTAAATGCCATTTAACAAAGAAAAATCAACCAAAAAAAAGTTCATGTGTCACCTCTGACACGCATGTCATTGGCTCGCCATCACTGGCCTGGTGTGCTCCCCGCCTTGCACTTCTGCCCGCAGACCTCGAGGCCTGCCTTCCGAGCGCAGCTGTCAAGTCCCCAGCTCATGGGGCTGTGCCGCGCTCCTCGCACCTGTCCCTCCCTTTGAGCTCATGGGACGTGACGAGCCGTGGGAAGCCACCCCGCGCTGCTGTCAGCGTTCGGCCTGCGGTAGAGCCTGGTTCACTTCCCCTTGTGGTCGTGCCGAGGAGCCGACCACGGTTCCTTTAAATGCACACAGAAAGGAGAAGTGGCACCACCGCCGAGGGCCCGTCTGTGCCACCACCTGGTCAGCCCTGTGCCACGAGACCCCCAGGGCGGGGGCTGCGCAGGGGCTGCCGTCACGGAGAAGCGGTGCGGGGAGTCGCCTGCATGGAGCTCAGTGTCTTCTCTGTGCGGAGAATCTCACGCTGGGACCTGGTGTGCGTGTGACACTGAGTCCTGTCCCTGATGAACCTGGAGGCCGCTTGGCTTCTCGGTGTGCAGTGGCTTCTGACCAGCGCAGGCCAGGGCCGCCGTAGGGTCCCCGCGAGTGGGCGGGAAGGCTGGGGGCTTTGTACATCGCAAGATATCAGGGTCGTCGTCGTTGCCGTTCTTCTGACGGGGACTGTGTGCCCGGGCTCTTCTTCCTGTTTTAGGGGATTTAATCTTCACAAGAATCTTGGGAGGCCTGGGCACCCACAGCGTCCCCTGCAGGCAGGTGAGGTAGCTGTTCGCTGGGGTCAGCCGAGAGGCAGATGTCAGGATGGGGTTAGCTGTGCAGAAGAGACGGGAGGGGCCCCGCCCAGTGCAGGGCTGCGCCTGTGGGTGGAGGCGGGGAGGAGCCGTCCTGGGCCCCCACAGCTCAGGGCAGCTGGCGTGGCCAGGCAGCCACAGGGAGGGCCCGGCCGCAGGCGCGCATGGAGGAGGCTGCCTCCCTGGAGTGGCCGGCCTCGGACCCCGCTGTGCACAGGCGGCGGCTGGGAGCCGGCCCCTTGCTCAGCCACCACAGTCACAGGCGCAGAGCAGGTGACTCACCGAGGTCACTGCCAGTACGTGCGGAGCCCGAGGTCACCGTGGCCAGGAGCCCAGAGCCCTGCTCTTGCCCACGGCCCCGCCCACTGCCGGGCTGTCACTCACCAGGGAGCTGTGAGCAAACAAGAGTGGGTGACGGTGGCACCAGGCGGTGGGTCCCGCCTGTGAAATCATCTCGGAACTTGGAGGGTGTTTGATCCTTGCCCACCGTCACCCTCCGTGAGCTCGTCTGTGCCTCAGCAGGGTCTGCGCCGAGACGGCAGCATGACCTCACGTCGCGAACTCGGCTGATGGTCTGGTTCTCTCACGGGGTCCCCCAGACGCCCTGTGAGAACTGTCTTCTGCCGTCGGGACTCTGGGCTCCGACTCAGTAGCCTGCCGGCTGGCAGTCTGACCGCTGGCCTGGGCTTGGACGCGGGAGTCGTCTCACTCACGGGCATTGTCCTGGTCACCGAAGCCCGTGTTCCGGCGCCTCCTGCGACCTTTCCCGGGAAGAGAGAAGACCTGGGCCGCGGTCAGGACTTGGTTCTTAGAATTTCCGTTGCCTCTGCTCCTTCGGTGCACGAACCTTCTCCTTGTTCCTAAACTCAGGACTTTCCCTCCAGTGAACACATGCCCAGAAGCCATATTCAGGTAGTTCCGACCAGAGGAAACAGTCAGCAAACCCCTGGGAGGCCAGCCCCTCCGCTGCCCGGAGTTAGCACAGTTACTGGTACACATTTCTGAGGGACCACGTCACGGATGAAGTCCGTGCAAAAGTCAGCGCAGTTGATGCGCACTGGCCGCCATGGTGAGCGATGCGGTCAGCGACACTGCCAGGGGGTCCCATCCGGACGTTCGTTTGCCAACACACGAGCCCTAAAGCGATCACGTCCCTGAACCCAGGAACACAGCTTTGGGGAATGTGTCCACGGAAGGAGAGTGGGGAAGGCGGATTGTGTACCATCTGTGTCCAGCGATCGCAGTGGACGCGGGTTCCCGCACACAGTGGTGTAGAGGGTTATCGCACAGCGTGGAAGGGATGAGTTCGGCAGCGATGGGAATACAGAGGGGCCTGTGGGAGGAGGAAGGGGGAGACTGAGCCGGACGCGCACGGCCTCCCCCGGGAATCCTGTTGGGAACCCCGGATGCGCCTGCACCTCGGATGGCAGGGAGGCCCGTCTTCACCAGCGTCTCCGTCTTAAAGGCAGTGTCTTGTTGGTGCCATGAGGACGGCTGCTCCGCGGTCGCCCTGCGGGTGCGTGACGGTCTGTCTTTGTCTCCGCAGCATCGCGGTACGAACTGGCTCCCGTGAAGTCCTTTTTCTGCAGGATCCGGTGAGTGAGGGCTGCGGGGCCCCGCGGCTCCGTCCGCTTGGACGTGGCTCTTATGTTGGTCCTTTGGTGTTCGCCAGGCCTGTTGTGGAAACCAAAGCCCAGACTTGGTTCTTGCCACAGGAGTCTGTCTTTTGATTGAGGGGAGGAAATCCCCCCGCTGAGAAGAGCAGATGGTGAAGCAGCGGGAGGAGAGGGGAAGGTCACGGCTCGCTGGGGGCGTAAGAACCCCTCGTGGTTCAGGACACTTCCTTTTTCTTTTTTTTTATTGACTTCAGAGAGGAAGGGAGAGGGAGAGAGAGAGAGAAACATCAATGATGAGAGAGAGTCATTGATCACCTGCCTCTTGCACGCCCCACACTGGGGATCGAGCCTGCAACCCAGGCCTGTGCCCTGACCGGGAATTGAACCATGACCTCCAGGTTCATAGTTCAATGCTCAACCACTGAGCAACACTTTCAAATGACCACTGTTTGGGCTCTTTTGTTTTGTGTGTTTTTTGTTGTTTCATCATATTTAAAATTAATTTTTGACATTTTGAATAACTTGAAAGCAAGATAGGTATATTTATGACAAGGATTTATAAGGTCCAGAGATATTAAGCTAGAGGAAAATAGACCAACATTATAACCCTTCATTTCTCATAGGAATTGTAGTGAATTTATTTTCCTCTAAGTTTACCGACACGTTACTGTTACATCAGTTACTGTTAACTTTCACAATAAAATGTGGTGTCTGACGAGGCACTGGCACTGAGTCTGGCTGGCGCTCAGGGAGGAACCCGGCTGGAGACGGCTGTCGGGCTGTCTGCGAGTGGCTGGACTTGCCCTTGGGTGCTGACATTTTAAACAAACGTTTTTCTTCTTTGGAAAATAAATACATTTACGTGTTTTAGATGGGGCTGTGTGTCCCATAGAAATGACAGGGAAGCGTTTCCCAGCCATTTCAGTGGCTGAGCCATTCCTTCTTGTGCAGCGGAGGCGGCGGCCGAGGGCAGCGTTACGCCCCGTTCCGGGTGATTCCCTATTTGATTCACGTGCGGCCGCAGTCGGAGCCGCAGCCGGAGCCGGAGCCCTGCTGCCTCGCGCTGGCCGAGAGCGCTGTCCTGCGTGAAATAGGAGCATGGACGTGGTTGCACAGTGCGGTCACAGGAATGGCTTTGTGCTTTTGAAGTGTTTGAAACCCCTGGTTTCTCCTTTGTGTAAATGGAAGCTCTTCAGTGTGGCTTATGTGTCCTGATGGCAGAGCTACATGCTTATGATCCGCGTGAGTCAGACGCAGCTCCCGCTACAGTCAGTCCTGCTGACCGTCCTGTGCCGAAAACTCACACAGAATGAGAGCCACAGGGCTTCTGGGGAAATGAAGTTGGGGGCACAATGCTCAAAGACTTAACCACACGTTAAAAATAAGCCTATGAAAATGATAACAGTGATTAAGACATGAAATTGGTGCAGCCACTATGGAAAACAGTATGGAGCTTCCTTGAAAAATTGAAAATAGAACGGCCATAGGCCCTGTGCGCTGTCCTGCGTGAAATAGGAGCATGGACGTGGTTGCACAGTGCGGTCACAGGAATGGCTTTGTGCTTTTGAAGTGTTTGAAACCCCTGGTTTCTCCTGTGTGTAAATGGAAGCTCTTCAGTGTGGCTTATGTGTCCTGATGGCAGAGCTACATGCTTATGATCCGTGTGAGTCAGACGCAGCTCCCGTTACAGTCAGTCCTGCTGACCGTCCTGTGCCAAAAACACACAGAATGAGAGCCACAGGGCTTCTGGAGAAATGAAGTTGGGGGCACAATGCTCAAAGACTTAACCACACGTTAAAAATAAGCCTATGAAAATGATAACAGTGATTAAGACATGAAATTGGTGCAGCCACTATGGAAAACAGTATGGAGCTTCCTTGAAAAATTGAAAATAGAACGGCCATATAACTCAGCAACTCCCCTTCTGGGTGTATATCTGAAGAAATTCAAAACATTAATTTGAAAAGATAATATACATCCCCGTGTTCATTGCAGTATTGTTTATAATAGCCAACATATGGAAGCACCCTAAGTGCCCATGAACAAATGATTGCATAAAGAAGATGCATATATATCTTCTATATACATAAAAGCCTAATATGCAAATTATCCCCTCAGGAGTTCAGTTGCTCACTATGATGTGCACTGACCACCAGGGGGCGGTGCGGAACGAAGGAAGGTCCCAGCCAGCAGCCAAGGAAGGAAGGCCCCAATTGGCCCTTATTGCCAGCCAGGCCTAGGGGCCCTATCTGTGCACAGATTTCATGCACCAGGCCTCTCGTAATGGAATATTACTCAGCCATAAGAAGGAATGAAATTTTATCATTGCATAAGATGGATGGACATAGAGGGTATTATGCTGTGAGATAAAGACAGATATGTGATTTTACTGATAGGCGAAATCTGAAGGACCATATGGACAAACAAATCACAGATATAGACTCACAGATACAGAGGACAAATACAGGGTTACAGGTGGGAAGGGAGTTGAGGAAACTGGGTGGAAAGGTGAAGGGATTAAGAAGTACCGATGGGGCCCTAACTGGTTTGGCTCAGTGGATAGAGCGTCGGCCTGCAGACTCAAGGGTCCCAGGTTCGATTCCGGTCAAGGGCATGTACCTTGGTTGCAGGCACATCCCCAGTAGGGAGTGTGCAGGAGGCAGCTGATGGATGCTTCTAACTCTCTATCCCTCTCCCTTCCTCTCTGTAAAAAATCAATAAAATATATATTTTTTTTTAAAAAAAGAAGTACCGATGGGCAGTTACAAAATACAAAGTATGTAAAGTATAGCCACCGTGGAAAGCCCTGGTTTGCTGGTGGGCGGGGCCATCGCGGTGATTGTGAGGGTGGAGGAGGGGTGTCTGAAGTCCTGACATCAGATTGACAAGCGTCCCATAACACTAGTGCGTGGAGGAAGCGGTGGGGGTGTGAGGTGTGTGCAGTCCCAAGTGACTGCATTCAGTTAGATGTTTCCTGCATTCACCTTCTGTTTTTTTGCAAATGAAATCATGCGTTAGCAAATGCAGAATTAGCATTATGCTCACATGGTTTCCTAATGTGTTAGCCACTACGTTTTCAAAGCAGCCGTGGCTGACCTGACCGGACCAGCTTTATCACACAGACTTACGACGCCCCTGTCCTGTGGGCTGCCAGGCCTGTGTGCTGAGCTGCTTGCTCGTGCACCTTAAGGTGCTCCAGCTTGACCAGTAGACGATCTGCAATGAGCAAGCTGGTCCGTGCACACAGACTTCCTCTGTCTAAAGTTAACTGGTGGGCATGGCATTTGACCTGATTAAAAGTAGATGATGCCCTGGCTGGTGTGGCTCAGCTGGTTGGAGCATTGTCTTGTGCACCGAAAGGTGGCAAGTTCGATTCCCAGTCGGAGCACGTGCCCAGGGTTCGGGTTTGTCCCACAGTCAGGGTGCATGTGGGAGGCACCTGATCAGTGTTTCTCTCCCGCATCGAATTATTTTTAAAAAAGAGGAAAAAAATGTAAGTAATATTGAAAATCATTACCATCTGATGTCGCTCTGGCTGCTCCGAGGCCAGGCCGTACGTGAGATTTCACCATTTCCCGTGAAGTGGATGATTAACTAGATGTTTGTTTCCTAGCTCCTCGGATCCCTGTGGATAAAAGGATTTTCACCACAACACACACTCCAGGCTGTGTTTTTCTTGAAATAGATGACCGGTAAGTACTTCTTTAAGCCTAAGAGAGATTTATTTCTGGGAATAAGTACAAATATGAAAAGGTTTATGTATGCTCACATGCTCCTACATTACATATATGATATCTCTCCATTATCTGTTTGATTTTTGTTAGGTTGAAATTATTTTTTGTCTAAATCAAGCATGTCAAACTCACGGACATGCTTGGTCTAAATGTTTAACATAAATACCTTGCCTGCGACACTTCTCACATTTACAAGTTATGTTTGATCGCCAGCTGCTTTAGGTGAGTCAGTTGTTACTGTTCCATTTACACTGCAGGACGGTGAAGCTGGGGCCAGTGTGCCAGAGCGCGTGTGGGATGTAATCACAGGGTGGCCCCGGCCCCGCACCTCTTGCAGGGCCATTTCCACGGCACAGCTGCTTCCCGCGGGCTCATGACTTCCTTTTTTAAGGGGGCTGGGGAGAGAAAAGAACAGATTTTTTTGTGCGTATGAAACTAAATTTATTTAAATAATTGTTACTTATTTTGAACTTAGGTCCTTCCTACTTCTTTAAGTGTTAAAATAGTCCTTTTTATTGAAAGAACAGTGATAATGAATAGTAGTTGCTTATTGTTGTTTTTTAAGATCTTTATTTGAAAAAAATGATAAAACATTGTTACCCCGACTAGTGCCTTCCATTTCCCCCCTGGTTTATTTTAAACTTTCTTCTTCTTCATGAAATCGCAAAACCTGGATAGCAAGCCTCATACCACATGGAGGTGTGAAGCAAAAGTGTCAAAAACTTGGCCTGGTTATGATATGTGAATGTTGATTTTTAAAAATCTTAACATCTGAAAATGGGTTTATTTCCTTTCAGTTACCCTGAGGTAAGTAGTAATTGGTGAGACACTTGGTATAATATAATCTGTAGAAAGCAGGATAATTTAACCAGGATACTTTGAAAACAGCTGACATGTATTGCCTTAGACCGTGTTTGTGAACTTGTGCACAGAGAACATGTGTGTGGAGCCGGGTCTTTCCCAGTCGCCCTGAGTGTCGTGTCGCACCTTGGGCGTGAGCCGTTTCCGAAGCCTTGGGCCTGCATCATTGGATGACCTTTGTCAGGGCGTCGATTTGTGTGATTGTCATCATACCGTACAGATGCATAGCGCGCTTCCTTCCTTCACCATCCTGAGATGTTTCTGTGTTAGGACGCGATCTTTGTAAACTTCAGTGGCAGCGAATGGAGGCCCTCGAGGACCTCTGAGGAACTTGTAAATACACAGATCCCCGGTCTCGCCCCCAACATTCTGAGGAACTTGTAAATACACAGATCCCCGGTCTCGCTCCCAACATTCTGCCCTGTTGGCCTGCGGCAAGCCAGTCTGTGTGAGCAGGTGCCCTGCGTGTTTTCGATGCAGATGGCAGCCTTTCTTAGGTTATGTGACTGTTCCCCATAGTCTGTATGTACCTGTTGACTCGAGTTTAAAATGAAGGAAAGGAGTGTTTTTAAAGTGTAACTGTGTCTCACCGGTGGCCTGTGCGTCTGCCCAGGGCTGTGCCTTTGCTGGGGTACCTGCCGCAGGACCTGGTCGGCACGTCCATCCTCGCGCACCTGCACCCGGAAGACCGCTCGCTGATGGTCGCCGTCCACCAGGAAGGTGAGGGCTGCTGCCTGGGGAGGAGGTTCTTTCCTTCATCGTTGATCGAATTTTTTTTCATTTCTTATTAGAGCTTAACCGTTACCTTAATCTGGTGAGCGATGTGTGGAAACCGCTCACACACCTTTTTTTCCTACTTTGGCGTTCTGAACATTGATCTGTAACTGCCTAACAGGGAGTCTGTCGTCACGTGTGTGTAAGTTCCTCTCCCGTCCCCTCCCGTGCAGTGCTGCGGTCCGCGGGCCACGCCCCCTTTGAGCACCGGCCCGTTCGCTTCTGCACACACAACGGCGACTACGTCACCCTGGATTCCAGCTGGTCCGGCTTCGTGGACCCGTGGAGCCGCAAGGTGTCCTTCATCATGGGCCGGCACAAAGTGCGGACGTGAGTCCACCAGTTTCCTCGTTTTCTAGAAACTCTCTTACCAGGTGTCATTCCTGCCTCCACTTCCCCCCCTCGATCAGGCAGCACGCAGATGGATGGATGGACGGACGGACTCCGAGTGCTTTCGACAAGCAGTTTCCATGAGCTATTTCCCTCCCAGCCTGATGCTTCCCTTCTGGGGACGTTCCAGGGAAACATGGCGAAACACAGAAAAGCTATAAAGAAAAGATGTGTTTTGCAACACAGTCGTAATGGCCAACTTAGAGTAGCTCAAGTGTCCGTCGTTAACTAAACTGGAATGTCTCCTTGACATGTTATATTGGTCAAGAAAATTTTTTACAGAGATTATAGACTATGGCAAGTTGACACATTAGATGTAAAAAGCATATAAAGTTATTTATACCATATGATTAAAATTACGTCTAAAACACACACACTAACCATGAGATGTGACAAGATTAGAATGAAATAAAATAGACTTTTTGGTTGTGTGTGGGGTAGTGGGATTATGGGTATAAGATTTTTTTTGCCTTTTCAGAATTTTAAAGTGCTGCTTAGTGAGCAAATAAAACTTATTCTAAAAAAAAAACAAAAAACTTATTCTATCAGCTTCTGACAAATCCCACTTCCTTGTGTCTATTTTATTAAATCGTTATTTTTAAAAATTAGACTCTGTGGTACTGACTTCCTGCCAGCAGGGCTGACTCAGGCCTGTTTGATCACGGTTACCTGCGCATTTACCAGAATCAGTGAAGTAGATCCAGAGCAGCCTGGCCCGGTATCAGAGCCTAAGATGCCCCCAGTCCCGACTTTTTGGCCCGCTTACAATTGACCTGCAGGTTCCTGGGCTGGCCCATCGGTGCCCTTCGATGTCTTTTTACACGTGGAAATGAGGCCTCCCCCTCATGCTGGGACGCAGGCGCCGTTCGCTCTTGCTCCTGCAGCCGTGTGACCTGGCGCAGCGGCCACCCCGGGCGGAGGAGGTGGGACTGGGTAGCGCACTTGGCACAGTGCCGGGCGCATCACAGGGTGGAGAAGGCTCCTCGTTCCTGCTATGTGTGGGGAAGCAGCACAGTGCCTGTCGCTCAGAAGGCCCTGGCGACGTGCCAGGCAGTTCTCTCCCTGTCCCGTGGGCTTGCCTGCCCCTCGCGGTGTTCGGGTGGAAAATTTAACATGTTCTAGGACGTGAGCACAGATGACGCGAAGGGTGTGACGGCCACACTTCACCACGGGGGTGTCGCCGTCATCTTGGCTGCAGAGCTGAAGTCAGGAGGCACCTTAAACAGTCAGTGTGGGGCAGCCTCAGGGTCTTAAGATTCCTGCGGTGGGTTCCATTGTGAGGCCCACCGTTGTGAATATGTTCAGTAGCTGAGAGGTTCCGTGTCCTGATCGAGATTGACACCAACAGCGACCGCAGCCGAGAGAGACTGCAGCGAAGGACGCGAGAAGCCTGAACCATCTCATTCGTCTATCGGTGCTTTCTCTACCCACGTGAATAGAATTTCAGCTGCAGATTTTCTATGTTTGGGATCGAAGAGTTGCTTTGTAAAAGCATAGATTTATTATTTGAATATTTAGAATCACTTTAGGCTTCATTATAAATGAATTTTATTTTTTTACATATATTTTTATTGATTTCAGAGTGGAAAGGAGAGGGCGAGAGAGGGAGAAACATCAGTGGTGAGAGAGAATCATTGATTGGCTGCCTCCTGCATGCCCCACAGTGGGGATGGAACCGTGACCACCTGTTTTATAGGTCGATGCTCAACCACGGAGCCATGCCGGCCGGGCTGTAAATGAATTTTAAGTCGCCTGACCCAGTTTCTCATGTGCTATTTTGTAGGAGTCCGCTGAATGAGGATGTTTTTGCTGCCAGAATAAGCAAGATGGACAATAACAACAAAGACATAACGGAATTACAGGAACAGATTCACAAACTTCTGTCACAGGTAAAATGGGGGAGATTTTAAAAATGGACATAGAATTCCCATAATTGTGTTTTATTTTAACATTCTGTTTAGTAAAGTCACTTCACAAAAATAAGCTGTGGGGAAAGATCCTTACCCTCTGCATTCCAGGAATTTCTGTCTTCCTCTTTTTTGTTTTTAAAGGAAACTTTATTAATCTTCTTTTCAGTTTTCTATGTTAAATGCACAGAATACTCTGTGAAAACCCATTTTAAGACAACGAAACTGAGTCACAGTGAGCGGTGAGACAGAGAAGTCATTTCTGAGCGAGAGAATTCTTCCTGTGTCCCAGGCTCCCCCAGGGGCTCAGCCTCGGGTTCGGGGTTTTGGGGGATAGTTCCCATTTTAAAGGTGGGGCGAGCCTGGCCGGTCACGGTATCTGGTTGTTAATGAGGCAAAAGTAGGAAAAACTGCTTATTGAAAACAAATACCCGAAATGGTTCCCATTAGAGATTCCGTCATAGCTTGTGATGTGCTGCTGGCCTGGCAGGTCTTTCAGAGACGCTCGGGCCCGGAAAGCACCTGTCAGGTCCGTGGGGACTGTGGTGTGTATTTCATGTGTTCTGTCTGCTCTAAGCGCAGCATAAAGAACGAGTGATTTTCATGTTTGGGAAAATTATATTATGGCTTTAAAACAATATTTTCCGTTCCAGAAATACCCTCTTAGATTAGAAACTAGACTTTGCCCTTGAAAATTACTGAAATGAGGGGACTGTCTTTCATGTCAGACATAGGGTTAAAAGCATCAGCCTTCGCAAGCCTACTTTAGGGTGTCAGAAATATTAGTCTTATTTTCTGATGAGTTTAGGTAAGCTCTGAGTGGATCATGCTGCGTTCCCCCCAATCCCCCGACCGCAAGATAGTAACCCCCAAATCGGACCTGTGTCCTTGCAGCCAGTCCACGGGAGCGCCTCCAGTGGCTACGGCAGCCTGGGGAGCAGCGGGTCCCAGGAGCAGCACGTCAGCGTGACCTCCTCCGGCGAGTCCAGCGGGCCGGGGGCGGAGGACGCCCAGAAGGAGCCGGTGAGTGGGCGGCGCCCGGTTCTCCTCCACCCTGGCACCTGCAATGCTCGCGGTGCTGGCCTGCAGCCCTGCCTGCTGGGAGCCATTCCCACCCACCCTGGCGTGGGAACCTAAAAAGAAAACCTCCCCTTGGGAAGTGGTGGTTGCGTTAATAGTGTGCTTTCTGCAGACCAGCAGACTGTGCACAGATGTGTGTTGTCACGTGAACCCGGTGGGAGACGGAATCAAGGCCATTCCTGTGCTTTTCATCACCGCGTGCTCGGGGACCAGAAGTTTCATGTATTCTGCTCATGTATCTTGTAATGTCCATGTGATAATATGTGAGACATGTTTCGTTCTTTTCCCCAAGTTGACTTTGCAGCAGGTCTATGCCAGTGTAAACAAAATTAAAACCCTGGGGCAGCAGCTGTACATCGAGTCCATGACCAAACCACCCAACAAGCCAGCGGTGGGGACGCGCGCAGGACGGCCCAGTGGTGAGTCAACGGGGCCCCCCTCCCCCGCGTCTGGCCTCCGCGTGGACATGGGTGTGTGCTGTGCTTTCCGTCGTCACTTGTCCCGTCGTGATCGTGGTGATGGCGGCAGCAGCAAGTACTGGCCTGGAAGCTGAGGGGATGGGAAGGTAGTTAGTGTACGGCTCCTAAAGAGGCGATGTTTCTGGCAATACCAGCACACTCACAGATTCCGCCCGGGAGCTCTCTGCAAACCAGGAGTCAGTTAGAACACGTTCCAGAAATACGAATCCCTTTGTGTCATTTCAAACGCGTGGACAATGCTCAAGACCTGAGTTGAATGAAAAACTTGGCATTTTCCCAACACATGTATACTTTCCTCAAATATAGGTAAGCAGTGCTCCAGAAGAATCAGCTTTTAAGTTAGTTGTGATAATGGCAGTATTTTGAAAATTTAACCGACTTGCATATACGGCACAGGAAAGTCCAATAGTGTAGACATCAAATTATATTGACCTCTTAATTAGCTAACTTTATCTCTCTCCCTGAATATTAATATAATTTTGGGAGTCGTTGCAGATTTTGACACCTCAATGTGATTCATGGTCTCTGTCATTGTCAGATGTGGCTGTTTCAGAGTAGAGGTGACATTGCCCCCAAGGTCAGTGATAATGGCTGCTGTATTTTGGCCTCGACGTGATCTACACAGCAAAAATCAGACTCCTGCGCCTGCAGTGATCTCACTGGAGCCATAGGGTGCCCGCGGGGCTAGCAAGTCCGTCCTCCCTGTGTTCTTCACCAGGGCGGAGCTTTCTCTGTCTTCTGTGGACATCAGGGCACAAGTAGAAGGAACAGCTTTTCCCGACCCTAGAACCATCAGGTTTCCTCTCTACAGGAGAGTTCGTCTTAAACATCTTTCTTGATGCGATCACTATCCCATGTCTTGGCAGAGAAAAGTCTTTGGGTAGATTTTAAATCTACATTTTGTGACTGTTTTCTTTGTCATCTGGTCCAGTCAGTGCCACGCGGGCTGCCCTGGCCTCGGCCTCGTGTTGGTGCCACAGTTCGGTGTCCTGACCGCTGTGTTTTTCTCCGAGTGGAGACCTTTCTCCCTCCTGCTTTGCTTTGCTCAGCTTCTTCTCGCCCATCGCCTGGTAACACCCAGGATGATGTTTGGAGGCTGAGTATTTCAGCAGACCTCAGTCTGCTGCCGTGTATCATTGGATAAAGGTTAAGCTGGGCCTCACTGTGTGCCTGTGCCGCTGTGTTAGACACTGAGATTTCCCTGCTCCCTATATTTATGCTGCACTTGACTCGGACACATAGGATGGGATTTTGCGGGGAAGGAAAAATCCATTGCCATTTGGCATGACTTGGGAGAACTCATATATATATGTATACTTTTTTTAATTGATTTCAGAGAGGAAGGGAGAGGGAGAGAGAGAGAGAAACATCAGTGACGAGGGAGAATCATTGATTGGTTGCCTCCTGCACGCCCCCTACTGTGGCTCAAGCATGGAACCCAGGCATGGGTGACCTGGTTCATAGCTTGATATTCAACCATTGAGCCCCACTGGCTGGGCATCTTGATTTTATTAACATTTAAAACCTACAAGCTTAAAGAACCTAGTGAAAAAAACCTAGTGCTCCTTACTCAAGAGAAATCAGTATGCAACGTGAGAATAAAATGTTACGTCTTGAACATTAGAAAGTGAGTGGTGATCCGCACCAGTGAAACACTAAATGGTCATTGTTTGCAGCTTCATGAGCAGGGTGCTGAGCCAGCAGGCACGGCGGGCGTTAGGTTTTTGGGTTTACCTTTCTTACAAGGGCAGGCTACCCTTTAAAGAACAGGAAGAAGGGACACTTTAGAACTTACTGTGGCGGGGCAGGGAGCAACAAGGAGAGAAAGCCCTTCATCAGCTCCATGGACCGGAGCCAGTGCCGGCGCGGTAACTGGGGAATTAGGGAACACTGAACGTCCCTTTCGGGCGGACGCGATGCCCGAATGGAAACAGACGATATGTAAACGGGAGTGACTCAGAGAGAGCGCGCGCTCTGGTTCCGCGCAGGGAGAGCTGGGTGAGCATCATTCCAAACGCAGAGGAAGGAAGCCAGACAGACAGCAGGCTCATGGTCTTCCTTTTCTTTCTTGAGATGTTTTTATTGATTTTTAAAGAGAGAGGAAGCGAGAGGGATAGGAAGATGGAAACATCATCGATTGGCTGCCTCCTGCAACCCCCTCCAGCGACGGAGCCCACAACCCGGATATAACCTCTGACCAGGAATCAAACTGGCTGCCTCTTGGTTCATGGTCGACGCTCAGCCACTGAGCAGCACCTGTCAGGCCCCTGGTCTTTCTTGAACCTGTCGGTGCTGAGGATCCAGGGCGGCCAGCAGACCCGATTCTGAGGGGAGACCACACCTGCAGGGAGAGGGGACGCACGCACTGGGTGCCGGCGCGCTGGGAACTGAAGCAAGTAACTGGCAAGAGACACACGTTCTCTGAGGCGCGATGCAAGGGAAGACCAGAAGCTGACAGTGGAGCAAACACTGGAAAAAGCCGTCCAGCAAACAGCCCCCTGAAGCACCGCGTGTCTTTAGAACAATTGGAAACCTAGCACATCGAGCAAAACCATGGCAACAGCCCACCTGCACCCGGGCCTAAACCTTAACAATATTAACTCAAACACAGGGCTAGCAGGAGGGGCGCCCGGTCTCTACTGTCCTTTTCCATCAAGAATGGAAGATGTTTCAACAGATAAGAAAGCAAATGGAAAAGCAAAAACTCCCGAGAGACAGAGCAGTCGTCAGATTAAGCGTCAGAGATGACACAGGTGCTGGAACCCTCGGGCAGGGAATTTAACACAACTGAATAACACATTAAAGGCTTTAATGGACAAAGTAGGCAACATGCAGGCCTCCCTGAGCAATCACAGCATGGAGATGGAGCGTACACGACCACATGGCAGCGCTAGGAGTGCTAGACAGAGAAAAATAGATGCCTGCACCAGGCACTCGATGGAGAAAAGAAGCCGTAAATTTGAAGATAGAAAAATAGAAACTGCACAAACCAAAACACAGTGAGAAATAAAAATACAGACTAGAGCATCTTAAGAATGTGGGACAGTATCAAGTGTTCTACCAGATGAATAATTACAATCTCACAAGAAATACTTGAAGAAATAATGGCCAAGGTTTCCCATGAATCCAGAGAACACCGAGTAGTGGAAACACCAAAAACAGAAAAAGAAAGTCACCCGCCACAAAGAAAAGCACCACTCGCGGGAGCATAGCCAGTCAGACTGCTGAAAAGAAAAAGACCGGCTTGAAGGCAGCCAGAGGAAAGCACAGGTTATGTCCAGAGAAGCAAAGGTCAGGATGACAGCCGACACTTCTTCGGAAACCGTGCAGCCTAGAAGACAATAGAGTCTTCAAAGGAAAAACTGTCGGTGTAGAGTTTTCACCTGCTGGGAGCTGTCTTTCAGAAGTGAGGGAGATACAAAGATTTTCTCACATAAAAACTAGGAGCTTATTGCCAGCAGATTTATTCTGTAAGGAGTGCTAACGGGATTTCTAAAGGTAAAAGAAATACAATACAGGCTTAAGACTCAAATCCACACAAAGTAATGAAAAGCGCTGGAAATGGAATAAACGAAGGCAAAATGAGTTCTACTTTTCACTTACTTTTAATTGTTCTAAAAGGCAACTGACAGAAACAAAAACCGCGTTCTGCATTTGTGGTTCATGTGAAAACTGCAGGCCCTGGGCTGTACCATCGTAACGTCCTTAACGTGCACCTGAAGTAGTGTCATTTGGAGGTAGAAACTGAATCCTTAATGACATATTGTAGACTTTAGAACAGTTATTACAAAGTTTTTAAAGAAGTGGAAATAATGTCAGAAGAGGAGATAAAATAGAATTTGAAACACCCCAACATGAGGCATAAAAAGGAGGTAAGAAGAGCCGTGATAAACCAGCTGGAACAAGGGGAAAACGGCTCACATGGTTTGTATGAGTCCAGCTATATCAGTAGTCACGCTGACCGTGAACGCAGTTTCCGGTTAGGAGATGGGAACCATCAAAGCAGATGAAAAAGGAAGATGCAGATGTATGTCACCTGTAAGAATCCATCCTTTAAAACAAAACCCGGTTAAGAACAAAAGGCCAGGAGAGAGAGACTGTGCCAACAAGGATCAGAGAAAGCTGGGGAGCTGCGTTAGGTCAGGTGTGGACACCTTTCTATGTCAGTGCATTTAGATCTGGGCTCATTGTTAATAGCTGCATGGTATTCTATTGAATATATTTATTCTAAATTACTGTGACTTAATCTTGCTGAATATATGTTCTTAAAAATAATGCACTTGTAACTGTACATACTTTCATTCTCTTTTAGGTGAGCAGAAGGCCTTTTCTCCCGTACAGCCCTGGAAGAATGAGAGCGTGCACACTGAGTCTTGTCAGGGTTTGAGGAAAGACCAGCATAGCCCCTCCTACCAGCAAATCAACTGCATCGACAGTGTCATCAGGTACGAAGCCCGCGTTTTGAGAATATGTTTTTCCAAAGGCATACATGGCCCCTGTGGAGCCCTGGTGTCATTTTCAATAGCTGTGGCTTGGTTTTTCACTGTAAATCAGTAGATACCATGGGCTGCCCCTCACATACCGTCCATGATATGCTCAGCATCCCGGGGGTGCAGGCAGTTAGAAGATGCATTCCTGGTTTGGAAGGAATGGTTGAGAAGACAAGGCCTCTGCTTGTCGAATGGAGAGGATGTAAGATGTGACGATCAATCCAAGACCGTGGGAAAACAGAGGGAACACCAGTGACTCCGGCTGATGGCCAGCGAGGACCCCATCAAAAGACAGTGCGAGTCAGCAGCTTGGGAGCGTGAGCTGCTTTTTCTCTCTCCTTCAACTTCCAAGTAACTGGACATCCATCACCGTAAAAAGCGCCGCGCACAGCAGACCGGACACCGAGAGATCCACCCACCTGTGCACCTGAGAGTGGGTGGCGTGGACCATGGGAGTGGCAGCGAGAGGGCAGCACCATGGGCAGGCGGGACCTTTGTGGCAGAGGATGTGGACGGTGAAGGGGGGGGAGGGTCGGCCCAGCCCTGGGTCTGCAGTTGAAGGGATCTCTCTCTCTGAGGAGAGACCACAGTGATGGGGTGAGGGGGTGGGGGTGCAGGGAAAGCCATGAGGAGTAGGCAGGAGAGAGAACTGAAGGAAAGGGCCCAGGATTCCGGCAAGAGTTCTGCCACGAACCTCTGGGGACCCCAACCCAACTTGAGCATCTCTGTCGGGCCAGGGCGCACTAAAGCCCCAAGTGCCGAGTACACAATTCTCCCCACTCTACTCCCACCCTTGTGTTTCCTCTTTTGGCAGCTTTGTTAAAATGCGTGCACTCTCAACCTTAGCTCAGGTAGGACAAACCAAAAACATTGCCATATCCCCAACTTGTGGGCAATGAAAGGAAGCGTCTAATTGCCAACCTGTTGAACTGTTAGAATCAACCAGGCCTTGTCTCAATGAGAACGGTGTTTGCTGCTTCAGATGCAGTGGGGATGCACTTTTCATCAAACACCATGAAAAGCACGCAGTACAGGATCACAGAAAGGAAATAGCCATTTCCCAGCAGCCAGCTCCACCCGAAAGGCATCGAACTGGTCGGAAATTCAGAGCAGCTGTTGGGAAGAAATTCAGCAAGCTGCAGAGAGCTCAGAAGGGCAGTGCCATGCTCTCAGGAGTGAAGTTAAAGATAGAGGAAGACTTCACCAAAGAGAATAAAATTCCAAAAAATAACCACACTAACTCTGGAACTGGAGAATTCAATGAATGAGGTAAAGCAGGCATTGGAAATGTAGCAGGTCAGAGGGAAGAGATGGCTAATGAGGTGCGAGATGGGAATCTGGAAGTGAAGAAGGCTGAAGGAAAGTGAGAACTCGGATATTTTGAAAGTGCATAAACCCTCTGAGCGCCATCGGATACCACGCAGAAAGCCAACCTAAGAGGATGGGTGATCCAGGAAGGGGCAGTCAGCATTACTTTGCTACCAAAAGAGATAAGGGTACCACAGGGAAAGAAAACTGTAGACCAATATTCTTGATGAATATAGATGCAAAAATTCTCAGCAAATATTAGCTAGTTATACGTTAAAAAGATTATATCCTATGACCAAGTGGAATTTATCCCTGGAATGTAGAAAAAGCCTTTGAAAAATACAACGTCCTTTTATAATGAAAACCCTTAACAGATTGGGTATAGAAGGAACATAACATAGTGAAGGCCATATACAGTAACTCACAGCTAACATTATACTCACTGGAGAAAAATTGAAAGTGGTTTCTCTAAGTTCAGTAACAACAGTCAATATAATACTGGAAGTCCTAGCTAGAGCAATTAGGCAAGACAACAAAATAAAAGGCATCCAATTTGGAAAAGAAAAGGTAAAATTGGTGCTGTTAGCTATGATATGAACTTGTATGTAGGAAATCCCAGAGTCAGGAAGTTGGAATTACAGTATCAGTAAAGTGATGGATACAAAATCAACATGTAGAAATCAACTGCTTTCCTTTTTACTAAAGACAGAGCACCTGAAAAAGAAATGATAGCATCCAAACAATAAAATGCTTCAAAATAAATTTGACCACGGAAGTGAGAGATCTGTACAAGGAGAACTACAAGACTTTGCTGAAAGAAATTGGAGACACAGCAAATGGAAAGACATCCCATGTTCATGGGTAGGAAAAATTAATATTGTTAACCGGCCAGACTACCCAAAGCTATCTACAAAGTCAGTGCCATCCCCATCAAAGGCATTCTTTCCAGAAATTAACAATCCTAGAATTCTTGTGGAGTCACAAAAGACCCCTTATAGCCAAAGCAATTCTGAGGGGGGAAAAAAGACATGCAGAGATATCACACTTCCAGATTTCAAACTATGCTACAGAGTTACAGTCATAAAAACAGTGTGACATAGGCACACGAATAGACACATGGACCAATGGGACAGAATGGAGAGCCCAAAGTCAAATCCTGGTGTGTATGTTCAGTTAACATCTGACAAGGGAGCCAAGAGTGCCCGACAGAACAAGGAAAGTTCCTCTAACAAACTGCTGGGCAAATCAGAGAAACACATGCAGAACAGTGAGAGGGGACCCTGTCTAACACAGAAAAATTCACTCAGAACAGGCCAGCCCTTGAACATAGGACCTGGTACCATTACACTCCTGGGGGAAGATGGGGAAGGACTCACTGACACTGTGCTTGGCAGTGATATTTTTATATATATGACGCCAAAGGCATGGACAACAGCAGATGTTAACAAGTGGAATAATCCAGCCCCAGAGCTTCTGCACAGGCACATCAGAGAGACAAGGCGAAAAGATGGCCTACGGAACGGGAGAACATGCCGCAAACCCTGAGTCACTAAGACGTTAATGCCAAGAAAGTATAAAGCACTCAGCAACCACAAAAGCAGTCTGAGCTAAAAATGGGCAGAAGAACTCAATGGACATGTCTCCAAGGAGGAGACACGAATGGCCAACACGCACATGAGATGATGCTCCACATCACTGACCACCGTGGGGAAAAAAGCCAATCAGAGCCACAGCAACGAGGTGGCGCCTCCCACCTGTTAGGGCGGGCGCCATCGGGAAGACGGGAAGTAGGATGTGGAAAGGAAGCTTCCACGTTGCTGGCGGAAACGTACATCAACCTCCATGGGAAGCAGCACGGAAGCTCGTCAAAAATTAAAAATCTGTCATGCAGTTCAGCCGTTCAACTTCCGGCTATGTACCCAAAGGCAATGAAAACGGCTCTGGCCAGATAGCTGCACTCCCATGTTTATCGCTGCATTGTCACGATAGCCAGGATACGGAAACAAACAAAGCCCGTCAGCCGGTGGATTTAAAGTGTGGTCTGTGCACAGTCGGATGTTATTCAGCCAAGAGGAAGGAAATGTCCTCCCGCCTGCAGCAGCATGGTGGGCCGACGTGGAGGGTGTTTTAGGGCACAGACTTCTCATGAGTGTAAATAAGCCGTGGAGATGTGATGAATAGCATGGTGAACACACAGTAACATGGCTCTCTCTTGTGGAAGGTGATCAGTAGCTCTACTTGGGTATAATGTGACATTTTGTAAACAGGTCAGAGTGCACACTGCACACCTTAGATCAGTGATGGCAAACCGATGACACGTGTGTCAGAGGTGACACGCGAACTCATTTTTTTGGTTGATTTTTCTATGTTAAATGGCATTTAAATATATAAAATAAATATCAAAAATATAAGTCTTTGTTTTACTATGGTTGCAAATATCAAAAAATTTCTATACGTGACACGACACCAGAGTTAAGTTAGCGTTGTTCAAAATGCTGACATGCCGAGCTCAAAAGGTTCGCCGTCACTGCCTTAGATATACGCAGTGTCACTTGTCAGATGTACTCCAAACACGAACACAAAAGGAGGTACATGTTTCTCGTGGTGCGAGAAAAGCAGAGGGAGAGGCCGTCAGGGGTCGCGGGGAGTCCCGCCCTCAGCCTGTCCCTCATGTGTCCTTGCAGATACCTGAGGAGCTGCCGCACCCCAGCCCTGAAGAGAAAGTGTGTCTCCTGCACAAATACCACTTCGTCCTCAGAAGACGACCGGCAGGCCCACAAGGCAGACGATGCCCACGCCTGGCGAGGTAGCGGGACGCCCTTCGTACTTGGATAAAAAGTTACGGCAAAGCTACCCCTGCCCTCTGTTTCTCTTTACTTTTCCAACTTCCGATATTCCATCGTAATCACACGTGATCCGAGTTCCACGGTCCTCTTTATGGGCCGGAGGTGGTTATTTATGTTATCAGTGTCTGTGAGCCATTTGGTCTCTAACATAAGCTTCCTATCGGGAGTTTTTCTTCTCACTGTCGGCCTCTCTCACATCCCCAGCTGCGTCTCGCATCCCATCAGCCCCTTCACCAGAAGTGCCAGCTCACGGACGGGCCACCGGTGCCGAGGGCGGAGCTGCACGGACCGAGGCCAGGGCGGCACCGAGCCTGGGCTCCGGCATCAGCCAGTGCAGCTACAGCAGCACCATGGTCCACGCCCCGCCCCCAGAGCCAGGTACCGGGTCACCTTTGACCTCAGATACACGCCACACGGACATGCTACTGTGAGACAGCCGTTTGTACCGTTTACTTAGAAGTAACTTCTCAGCTTTGGGAAGTGCCGCACTGGTTATCTGTGTACATACATTTTGGACTGTATTTCTTACGTCCCTCAACTAGAGTCGCTAATGCAGCTTAGGCCACATTGCTGACCTGGAAAGAGGTTTCAAACATGGACTGTCGTTGGCCTAGATAGATCACACGTATACGCAGGAAGTTCATGTGGGTCTGACCACGCTCCTTTAACAGCATATGGCTTGGTAAATCACTTGGATGATGCCTTATTTCTTTTTACGGTCTCCTATTTTTTGACTTCTTCATTACTCCTAGCAATTTGGTGGGTGAAGAAATAGTGACGTGTTAAATCAGGTTTTCGGATGAGCTCTAACTTATCTTTGCTAGTTCCGTGGTGAGTTAGCACGTGCTGAGCTGACCGTGCTAGTTCCGTGGTGAGTTAGTCAGCATGTGCTGAGCTGACCGTCCTAGTTCCGTGGTGAGTTAGCACGTGCTGAGCTGACCGTGTACACTCCCTGTCCTTAGTCCGTCACAGAGATTTAGCTCCTCGGAGCTCACACCCCCTTGGAGATGGAGAGCGCAGTCCCGGCAGGCGAACTGTGGTTGGTGGGAAAGACCGGAGATGGAACCGCTGTGGGATTAGGTGGCATTGCTAATGAGCCAAAGATCGCTTGTTCATTTCTAACCATGTGAATACATTACAGATTAAAAACTAAAAGATAAAAAAGAAACATTTTAAAGAGTTCAGGGAGATGGATATTTACAATAAAAGCAAGATTTTAATCCTATATAATAAAACCCTAATATGCAAATTGACCAAATGGAATGACCACTGGTTGGCGAGCAGATGGCGCCAAGCCGCATTGAGTGTGCCCTCTGCCACCGGGGAGCAGGCCTAAGACAGCAGGTCGTTATCTCCCGAGGGGTCCCAGACTGTGAGAAGGCACCGGCCGGGCTGAGGGATACCTCTTCACACACCATAGCACAAATTTTGTGCACCAGGCCTCTAGTTAATATATGTCTACACTTGAGTATTACAGTGCTGTAAGGCATCTATACAGGCATACAAACAGAGTAAAGACAGGCAGAAAAAATAAAAGTATGTGCTAGTTGATGAAATTTTTTATATTCCAGCTACTGTAACAGTGTTTGTAAAACTTATCAAAAGGTCATTAAGTTGGTGAAAATAAATGCAAATAGTTGGTAGCAATGACCATTAACCTCTCTTCTCCCACCTCAGCAGAACCGACTCCGGCCGAGGACACCGCCCCCGCCTGCAAGCCCTGGGTGCCCGGCACCCTGCCGGCCCCGCTGACCGCAGAGGAGTTTCAGCACGTGGGGCTCACCAAGGCCGTGCTGTCGGCGCACACGCAGAGGGAGGAGCAGGACTACGTGGACAGGTTCCGGGAGAAGATGCTGTCCTCCCCCTACAGCTCCTACCTGCAGCACGAAGGCAGAGGACAGGCCACGAGTTCAGATGGTCAAGGTAGTTCAGGTCCTTAGAATACACGCCATTGGCCCATGAGCCCTCAGTGTACAGCCGTGTGTCCGTGCTGGGAGATGGGGGTGGGACACGGGCGAGGGCCGAGCGAGGAGCTGAAAGGAGTTGGTCCTGTAGCAGCGCTTCCGGCTGCGTGACGGAGGCAGCATTGCCTCTCCCTGCGGGACCTGCGCGGCAGCCTTCCCTCCGGGGGTTTCCTCACTGCACCCCTCTGTCCTCAGGAGCCTCCTCTCCCAGGCAGGCCAGGCCTCCTGGGGGCAAGAAGGGGAAGCACAAGCGGAAGAAGCTGCCGGAGCCACTGGGCAGCCGGGGTGCGGAGGACGCCTGCTGTCCCCACTTCAGAAGGGACGTCCAGGACGCTCAGCCCTGGAGCCTGCCCCCTGCCCCCCCTCTCCACGCCCCCGGCCTGGCGTTCCCGGCTGCGGTGGTGGCTCCCGGCCAGGCCCTTTCTTACCTCGTGCCAGTGTTGCCCTTGCCCACCGTGGCCCCGGAGGGGCACTGCCTGCCTTTCCCAGATGTGCCTTCACCTTACACGGAGACTTTCCTAACCATTGTGCTTCCTGGCCCCTCTGTGTGCCCTCTATGGGCACCGTCCTTCTCTCCATACCTGTATTTGGGCGCAGCAGGCCCTTCTGAAACGCCACCCTCAGTACCAACAGCAGCTCCCAGTGTGGAACCACCGCCTCCAGTCACCACCCAGAGGGGCGCTGGGCAGAGCTGGGAGACGCAGAGCGCAGGGCGCCCGGGCCCCAGCTCCAGGGGCAGCTCGCCGCTGCAGTTGGCCTTGCTGCAGGAGGACAGGCCCCCGTCTTGCGAGTCTGCAGAGCAGGTGAGGATGTGGGCCCGGAGGCTTCCGCACACGACTGGAGAGGGTCGGGCAGAGGGTCTCGCTGGGCGCAGCACAGGTGGCTGAGTGGTGACCGCGGTACCTGTGGTGCAGGCTGAGCGCTGGGCTCCGGAAACAGGCACTTTGTGTGAAGCGGAATGAGAAGCTGCTGCGTCCTGGCTGCTTAGACGTGTTGTGTGGTTTCCCAAAGTGCTTTCAGATGTTCGCTAGCAACTAAGTTTTTCCTCCTTTAAAACTTGACATCCGAGCATTAACTCAGTATGTTCATTGTGTCTAAAGTGCGTTTTCTTGCCTACAGCTGAGGTGTAGTCTGGTAAGACAGGAGGAAGCCATGCTGACAAGGCATGACTCCAGTAATGTCACTTTTTCGAGCACAGTTAGCGACGGCAGCTGTGTAAGGGGCGGGTAGGAGGCTGTCGGCACCATCCGTGCAGCAGGCAGTTTGTAGTTTCACATGTGTGCTTGTCAGTTTCAGAAATGAGGGCTTTGAGTCCGTTTCCTTTAACTTGTCACCCTTTCCCTGAAAGGTTCTCAGGCGACCAGGTAGCCGGTGGGCAGGAGCCAGGAGGAGCGTGAGCCTGCGGTTCTCTCGCGCTTCCCTCCCAGGCATAGCGCCTGCCTAACGTCAGATCAGCACAGGCCGCCCGGGCCAGGCAGGGAGCTCGGTGTGGAAGCCCGACCCCAGCGCGCTTGCCGGACGCCAAGGCCAGGCGGGGCCGGCGAGCGAAGCCTGGGCCGCCGGACGAGACAGGCCCGCATCCAGCCCGCCACCTGTCAGCTGGGCTCGTGGAGGCACGTTATTTAGCCTGCCTTTGCCTTTGCTGCTGCTTTGAAAAACGGAAGGATTAATACTTCCTGGCTTACCCTGAGGATTAAATGCCGTCACACTATGGAGTCCTCCCCCAGGAGATCAAGATGGCTGGGCCTTTGCTTCGTCCGCCTTCTATTCCTAGGGTTTGGGACACTGCTTAGGACTCACAGAAGCTCAGCACATCTTTTCTGGATGACAAGAAGCCCGAAAGCGCACGCCAGCACGTTCTGTGGCTGCCATAGGTGCTCACAGATCAGTGGTACTTGACAATCACACACACAGGGACTTGGCCCCCATTCTCAGGGCCAGGCTGACCTGTTCCGCGTCTCAGTTACCCCTGGCACTTCATTCTGTTTAACAGGTGACGGTAAAGATCTCCCAGGTGTTTTGTCACATGATGCTTGAGATGCTCACGTGTTTTCTTGTGTTCTTACTCCCAGCAGTGTGCTCCAGGCAGCAGCGGGGAGAACAGCCATTTCTCTGCCAGGGACCTGTCCCCGGGGCCCCTGCCCAGGGAGTCCCCACCGGGACCCGGCTCTGCGGCATCAGGTAGCGGTCCAGGGGACACGGCCCTCAGGCTCAGCCGCCAGGAGGTCCCCGTCTGAGGACGGGCTGCTTGGGTTCCGCCCTGGTGTGGAAGGCCAGTGCGTTCCCTGTTTTCTTTGTGAAAGCTTTATGGGGTACATTTACTCACATACCACAGAAGGCACCGAATCAGGGTGCCACGCGAGAATTCTGAGGAACGTACGCTCAGACCCTCACCACCCCGTCCCCCCAGAACAGCTCTGTCACCCCCCCGCCCCCAGAGAGTCCCGCAGCCTTGGGTCAGCCCTGCCCGGCCCAGCTGCTCCGCCCTGAGTGCTGTCCTCCACCAGGCCGCCGCACGCACTCTGTCGGCGTTCTTCCCCGAGCAGGCGCGCCGAGCTCCCGTGGCCCCATCAGGACTTTGTTCCTTTTCGTTGCTGAGGAGCAGGACACTGTGGATGTCCACTCACCATGGCTGGTGGTTGTGTTTCCGGTTTGGGATGTGAATGCTGAGGTGCACATGTTAGCCTGAGTCCTTCATGGACCTGTTTCCTCTTGAGTAGGTGCCTAGGAAGGGAATTGCTAGCGAGGTCATGTGTGCGGTGACACAGGAAACTGCCCAGCTGTTTTCCACAGAGGCTGCCCCGCTCTGCACACCTGTCCTGGCGTGTGAGAGCTCCAGTTCGCAACACCGTGGCCAACACTACGTCTTGTCCATCATAAGTTCAGCCCAGGGGTCCTCAAACCACGGCCTGCGGGCCACATGCAGATACAAATATTGTATTGGTTCCCGTTTTGTTTTTTTACTTCAAAATAAGATATGTGCAGTGTGCATAGGAATTGGTTCATAGTTTTTTTTTAAACTATAGTCCGGCCCTCCAACGGTCTAAGGGACAGTGAACTGGCCCCCTGTTTAAAAAGTTTGAGGCCCCCTGCTCTAGCCATTCCGATGGGTTTGCAGGGATACCTCATTGTGGTTTTAGTTTGCATTTGCCTGTTGGTTAATGGTGTTGAGTATCTTTTAATGTGCTTTTTGCCATCATATGTGTTTAAGTCTCTTGCCCATTTTGTAGGGGAGGGGCAGTGTTACTTTCCTAGAATTCTGTTTATATTCTGGATTCAAGTCCTCTATCAAATTTTTCTTTTGCAAAGATTTCTCCCTGTGTGTGGCTTACCTTTTCATTTTATTATCTTTTATTTTTAGCTTTATTTTGAAGAGCAAAATATTTTTTAATTTTAATAAATTTCAGTTGATCAGGTTTTATTTTATTAATCCTCACTTAACGATATTTTTCCATTGATTTTTTTTAAATTGAGCCACTAAGATAGTCTCTGTCTTGGAAGTTTTGTAGGTTTAGCTTTTATAGTTAAGTTTGTGATCCATTTTCAGCTAATTTTTATGTGTGGTGTGAGGTTAGGGTCAGTACACTTTCCTTGCACATGGGTTATCCAGTTGTTGTTGCCCATCTGATGGAAAGACTGACCCTCCCCCCCTGACTTGCCAGGGCACCGTTGTTGGAAATAGACTGGCTGCATATGTTTGGGTCTGTTTCTGGACCGGCTCTGTTTACCTTCACAGCCAGCTGTTGGGTGATCCCACATGCTTTTGAGGCAGCTTTCAAGTAAGTCTGCAACTCTGGTGGGTTAAGTCCTCCAACTTCATTCTTCTTTTCAAAATAATTCTGGGTATTGTAGGTCCTTCCTTTGTCCACATAAATTACACACTCAGGTTCTTGTTTCTACAAACAAAAAACAAAACCCTGCTGGATCTTGATGAACATTGTGTCAGATCGATAGGCTGGTTCTGGGGGGATTGTCACCCTGACAATATTGAGTCTTCTGACCCATGAGCATGATGCCTTTCTTTTTTATGTAGGTCTTTAATGTTTCTCAGCAATTTTTTTTATTTTCCATGCACAGATCTTACACATACATGTTTTGCTAAAACTACCCCGAAGGGTTTCATATATTTGATGCTGTAGTGAATGACATTTTAAAAATCAAATCTCCAGCCCAGCCAGCATGGCTCAGTAATTGAGTGTTGACCTATGAACCAGGGGGTCACTGGTTCGATTCCTGGTCAAGGCACATGCCCGAGTTGTGGGCTCCATCCCCAGTGGGGGGCATACAGGAGGCAGCTGATCAATAATTCCCTCTCATCACTGATGTTTCTATCTCTCCCTCTGGGCGCCTCCTCTGTAAATTTATTGCCTTAAACTTGTTGACAGTATTCTCTTACTCGCTGAATGTCTGTAGAATCCATTGTGCTCTTCCTGTTCTGACTCTCTGTTTACCAATTGTATTAACTTCTCCAGGAAACAGTTTTTAATTGTTTTTTTCCCTGTTGTTTGGTTTTGTGTTTTATCGATTTCTGCTCTAAGCTTTGTTACTCCCTTCTGTGTACTTTTGGCGTTTATTTGCCCTTTTTCTAATTTCTTAAGGTGGGAGCTTAGACCATTAATTAGTCACCTGTTTCCTCCTAATATGAACATTTAGTGCTTTCCGTTTTCCTCTACGCGGCGCTTTACTCATCCCTCAGGTTTGATGTGCGTGTTTTTATTTTCATTCAGTGTAAAACATTTTCTCATTTCCCCTGTGTTTTCTTCTTTGACCATAGTTATTAGAAACTATTTGATTACCTAGTATTGGGATTTTTCTAGGTATTTCATTGGGTGCGAGCTGAATTGCAGACAGAACACATTCGTTACGCTTTTAAATGTCCTGGCACCTGCTGAAGGGTCCAGCTTGGCCCATCCTGGCCGGTGTCTCGGGTCCCTGTGAGGGAATGTGCTCCGCAGTGTCGAGCAGCGTCCTCTGAGTGTACCCTGGCCAGCCGGGCTGGTGACCGGGTGGGGCAGGGCTGTGGTGAAGGGGGCGGGGGCGGAATCTCCGAAGACTGAGGGCCGGAGGGGAAAGGAGCTGGCAGGCGTGTGCTGATCTGCTCCGTGCTGGTTCTTGGCAGGGAGCAGTGGCAGCAGCAGGTGCCTCTCTGGTAGCGACGGCTCCTCTGAAGTCGCCCCCGATGGGCAGCAGCCTCGGGAAGTGCGGGCGGCGGACGCCGTGCCCCACGTGGCCGAGGAGCCCGTGTGGAGGATGATAGCGCGGACACCCGAGTGCGTCCTCATGACGTACCAGCTGCCCGAGAGGTGAGCGGCGCCTGGCAGGCCCACTCCGTCGGCTCCTATTCGGCTCTTCCGTGCGGTCAGTGCTGAGCGGCTGTGAGGTGTTTTCACACAGACCCTCGGGAGCTGCGTTTTTAAATTCGCTCATTTGAAGTCCAGTGATGAACGATTACTTGACACAGTGGTCACGGTGGTGGGGCACGCACGGTCCAGACTTTTGAGGCAGGGGGGCAGGAGGGAAGGCAAGAGGGCAGGGGGAGAGGAAGGGAGGGCAGGAGAGGCAGTGCTCCAGGCGGCGTGAGCAGGGCTGTTCTGTTCAGAGGGGCTGTCTCTGCACTCACAGTGAGGGGCTGAGGGCGTCTCTCTCTGGCACCTCCTCAGACTCTGCACAGATGCCCCCGAGAAGAGGCAGTCTGGCTGCCCACGGGACAGAGGAGCGATGCCATGTGTTTAGCGTGTGCATCGTATGTTTAGCATGTGCATCATCACTCACAGGCAATGGAAAGCACATCGCACAACAGGAAGAGCCCGTCCTCTCGGGGCGTGACCAGCACCCGGGCCCCTCAGGGCCAGTGAGGTTGCTGTCGTCTGTTCTCAGGGTGCAAGACGTGGTCCTGAGGGAAGACCTGGCGAAGCTGGAGAGCATGAGTCGGTGGCAGCCACAGTTCTCTGCGGGCGGGCGGAGGGAGCTGGCCGGGGCGCGGGCCTGGGCCCACAGCCGGGGCCTCCCTCCA